GGTTTTGATTTGTATTTCCCTGATGATGAGTGATGTTGAGCATCTTATCATGTGTCTGTTAGCCATCTGGATGTCTTCTTTGGAAAAATGCCTATTCATGTGTTCTGCTCATTTCTTCACTTGATTATTTGTTTTCTGGGTGTTGAGTTTGGTAAGTTCTTTATGGATTTTGGATACTAACCCTTTATCCGATATGTCATTTGAAAATATCTTCTCCATTCTGTCAGCTGCCTTTCACTTTTGGTTCAGTTTTTAGAGCCCAAATGTCCATCAACTGATGAATGGATAAAGAAGATGTGGTTTATATATACAATGGAATACTACTTGGCAATGAGAAAGAATGAAATCCTGCCATTTGCAACAACATGGATGGAACTGGAGGGTATTATGCTAAGTGAAATAAGTCAGTCAGAGAAAGACAGCTATTATATGTTTTCACTCATATGTGGAACTTGAGAAATTTAACAGAAGACCATGGGGGAAGGAAGGGGGAAAATAGTTTCGAACAGAAACAAAGGCAAACCATAACAGACTCTTAAATTCAGAGAACAAACTGAGGGTTGATGGGGGGGGGGGGCAAAGGAGAGGGGAAAATGGATGATGGGCATTGAGGAGAGCACTCATTGGGATAGGCACTGGGTATTGTATGCAAGTGATGAATCATGGGAATCTACCCCCAAAGCCAAGAGCACACTGTATATGCTATATGTTAGCTAACTTGACAATAAATTGTATTAAAAATAATAATAATAGGGGCACCTGGGTGGCTTAGTTGGTTAAGCATCCAACTTCAACTCAGGTCATGATCTCACGATTTGTGAGTTTGAGCCCCGTGTTGGGCTCTGTGCTGTCAGCTTGGAGCCTAGAGCCCACTTTGGATTCTATGTCTCCCTCTCTCTCTGCCCCTCCCCCACTCATGCTTTCCCTCTCTCTCTCTCTCTCAAAAATGAATAAAAACATTAAAAATTTTTCAAAAAATAAAAATAGATACATTTTTTTTGGATATATTTTTTATTGCCTGTCTGCCCTATCAGAATGCCAGCTCCATGGGATCAGGAACTTGCCTGTTTGGTTCACTGTTGAATCCCCTAAAACAGTATCTGGCACAAAGTTGCACTGAATAAATATTTGTTGAATCAATGATTGAGAACAGGTCAGAAAGAAGTGTCAGGGGCCACACAGTTGGGCACTTCATCTCTCTACTTTTATCATCATGCTTCCTTGTTTCACTTATTGCCTCTAGTCTAGTGCCCACACATGGGGTATGACGTCTCTGGAGAATAACGCTTGGCCTCTAAGGAGGGAGTTGAAGGAGGAAGGTCTCTTGGCTACTCAGGGTGGGAAAGGGGACTCAGAAGTTAAATCACTCTCTATACATGCTCCTGTTCCCAGTCTCACACCTACCCATTCACTGTCCCCTGCCATTACTCACAGGTTTTTGCAACAAATTGACTCACTGAATGATCTACCCATCTCTGAGGTGTTTTTCTAAGCTTCATCTCCTTTCTATTCTCCAAAAATCCACTGAGATGCACTGAGCTGGTCTCTTTTCCCATTGTTTCACACCTTGTAGGTTTGCACTTTTTCTAATCTTTTATTATCACTTCAGCAGGACTTTCGAAGGGGGAGCAATAAAAGCACATGGTTAATCTACTATGCATAACTGGAAGCCCAAATCCCTTGTCCTATAAACTAGTTTTTAAAGTATATGTACTACTAACTTTGTAACAGGTTGAATTTTATAATTGAAGCAACAAATATGGCAATATAATTAATGAGCCAAACATAAAATAACTATTAAGAATGTTGATTTTGTTAGACACGTACCTGGGTTTAGCTTAGAGATTGCTTTGATGACCATCTTTTGAGTCTATTGCACCTGTGATGCATAGATAAACCTTTGTTGTTGAACCAATCTTAATTTCTAGCTGTGTGTAGTAATAAAGATATTGGCTTATTCTCCTATTGGAGACTCCATTTTATGAAGTGGGTAGGCAAGAAACTAGCAGTTTTACTTTGACTAATAAATTTCAGTTTTTGGGCAGTTTTGGATTTACTGAAAAATTGAGTGGAAAGTATAGTGGATTCTCATATATTTTCTCACCTTCTTTCCTCCATTTCTTTTATTATTGACATTTTGTGTTATTATCATACAGTATTGTTTCTTTCTTTGAAGCTTTTTAAAAAATGTTGGGGCACTTGGGTGGCTCAGTCGGTTAAGTGTCTGACTTCAGCTCAGGTCATGATCTCGCAGTTCGTGAGTGTGAGCCCTGTGTCAGGCTCTGTGCTGACAGCTCAGAGCCTGGAGCCTGCTTCAGATTCTGTGTCTCCTTCTCTCTCTGCCCCTTCCCTGCTCCTTGTGCTCAGTCTCTCTCTCTCTCAAAAATAAATAAACATTTAAAAAAACCTTTAAAAATGTTTATTTATTTTTGAGAGAGAGAGAGAGAGAGAAAGAGAGAGAGAGAGAGAGAGAGAGAGAGAGAGAGAGAATGAGTGGGGGAGGGGCAGAAAGAGAGAAGGAGAGAATGAATCCTAAGCAGGCTCCATGCTGTCAGGGCAGAGCCCAACTTGGGGCTTGATGTCACGGTTCGGTTCGTGAGATCATGACCTGACCTGAAATCAAGAGTCAGATGCCCAACTGACTGAGCCACCTACGTGCCCTGATACAATATTGATGAGTCAATACTGATACTTTCTTATTAACTAAAGTCCATAATTTACATTAAGGTTCACTCTTGGTGTGAAAGGGCAGGCCTACGCCAGCCAACTCCATCTTGTTCTGTGTCCTTCACCTCGACCACGCCTCCTCCCCTTGAGTAACCTCCCGCTCACCCGTTCAGACTTCCTCATCAAAACACGCCCGGTGACCTGCGTAACAGGACTCCGACCCTTCCCCAGCCAATCGGCTGAGGCCACGGCCATTACCTCACCAATAAACTGCCCCTAGACCCCAATAAAACCTTTGTGCTTTTGAAACTCGCTCTCTCTCCCCAGTATTTCACCGCTGCGTCGGTGCAGGTAGGGGATTGAGCTCGAGCTAGCTCGAATAAAGGCTCTTTGCTTTTGCATCAGACTCGGCTCCCTGGTGGTCTTTGGGGATCACGAATTCTGGGCATAACAGGTGTTGTACATTCTGTGGGCTTTTACAAATGTATAATGACATGTATCAACCATTACAATGTCTATTCACATAGAATAGTTTCACTGCCCTAAAAATCCCCCATACTCTACCTATTCATCCCTCTCTCCCCTGAGCTACTGGCAACCACTGATTTTTTTTACTTTTTTTGCTTTTTCCAGAATGTCAGATAGTTGGAATCATATCGTATGTAGCCTTTTCAGATTTGCTTCTTTTAGTTAACAATATGCATTTGGGGTTCTTCCATGTCTTTTCATGACTTGATAGGTCTTTTTATTAATTATTAAATAATGTTCCATTGTTTGGATGTACCATAGTTCATTTATTTATTCACCTACTGAGGGACATCTTGGTTTCTTGCAAGTTTGGGCACTTATAAATAAAGCTGCTATAAATATGTATGTGTACTGGGTAAATACCAAAGAGCATGATTACTAGAGTTCAGTTTTCAAAATTGTTTATAAAAGTTTCATTTAGATACCGTTTTGTACACTTGTGCTTGCCTTCGTTTTTGGATAACTGCATCCCTACATTGCCAACATATAATTAATTCACTTTACCTTAAGATTAAGAAAGGACATAAACAATGGTTATTTTTTAAGTTTACTGTAATCATACCTTTATATTCTTTAAAATATTTTTTAAGCTTATTTATTTACTTTGAGAGAGAGAGAGAGAGAGTGATCAAGGGAGGGGCAGAGAGAGAGAGGGAGAGAGAGAATTGCAAGCAGACTCCACAACAGCATGAAGCCCGAGGTGGGGCTCAAACTCATGAACTGCGAGATCATGACCTGAGCTGAAACCAAGAATCAGATGCTTAACCAACTGAGCCACCCATGCGCCCTATATTCTTTCTTAAAAAAGTAATCTGTACCCCCAACATGGGGCTTGAATCCATGACCCTGAGATCAAGGGTTGCATGCTCTATGGACTGAGCCGGCCAGGTGCCCCTATATTCTTGAATATGATTTAAGATTGTCAACTTAGGTGATCAGAACTTGAGTATATGACTCACACAAATCTCATGGCTTTTCACAGCCTTAACATGCTTCAGTTAACTATAATAGGTACTTTCTTTTTGAAAAAGCAATGCAGTATGGTCAGTGTGAGTTCTTTGTTTTATTTAGCAATATCTCAAAACAGTTTAGAAAACATTCTCTGGCAAGTGTCTTGGGCCCATCTTGATTTTTGCCATCCTTAACACAAATTTAATGATCTTTCAAGGATTTTTGAGCCCTATTTGTGGGGAAGGTAATACAGACAAAGACGTAGGCCTTGGGGCTCATAGGCTGTAAACTGCGATTACGCCCTGGGGGGTGGGGTTGCCCAGTTACACTGTTAGTGATAGAATTAGAATCCCTTTAAAATACATGAGTTCATGCTGATGTTTCCCATTCAACTCTAACTTTCCCAAGCCAGTCTTTATTTTGTTCTAATGTTAAGATATTTTTAAATTAAATTTTGTCTTTTTCAAACATACGCAGATTTTTTTTAATTGCCTCCACCAAAATAAATTTAGAGGAGCTTCGTGTCAGTTAAATATCTTTTATCACCTCTTAGAAGGTGCCTTTTTCCAAGCTAGCATCCATTTCCAAGACCTTCACCCCTCAAAGTCAATTTTTTTTTTTAACATTTTTAAAAAAATTTTTTTTTCAACGTTTATTTATTTTTGGGACAGAGAGAGACAGAGCATGAACGGGGGAGGGGCAGAGAGAGAGGGAGACACAGAATCAGAAACAGGCTCCAGGCTCTGAGCCATCAGCCCAGAGCCTGACGCGGGGCTCGAACCCACGGACCGCGAGATCGTGACCTGGCTGAAGTCGGACGCTTAACCGACTGCGCCACCCAGGCGCCCCAAAGTCAATTTTTAAAGCTCAATTAATTACAACACATTTACACAAATCACACAGCTTTAAGTCACAGCTCATTGGCAGAAAGTACTCTTGTCTGAAAAAGCAGAGGTTTTAAGTCACACATACTAAAACAGAATTACTCATAGTCAATAGTGATAATATTCAAACAGAGTGCCCATTAAAATGAAATTTTCCTGTAATTGGTCTCCCTTTTGTGGTCTATGGGAAGGATTTAATCTCTGAAAATATGAAGCTTTTTTCTTCTTCTCTTTCTCTCTCCTCCTCCTTAATTGAGGAGGACTCTCTCAGTTATTTTATACTGTAAACAAGTCCCTAGTTACCAGAATCCTGGCTTCACCGGTGGGGGGGGGGGGGGGGGGAGGTAATTTGCCTGTACCTGTGGCGCCTTCTGTGTTTAATCTTTCATGGTAGCCATGTGTCTGGACTCTAGCCGTTTACTTCACTCCCAAGCCTGCTTTGTGAGCCAATGCTTTACTTTCATTTTTAATCTCTTTCTACATCTAGGGCAACAAATTCTCAGGATTGTGTGAAAGAATATCCTTCTAGTTCCACTGTGTTAAATTTTCTAGAAGGCCCTAGAATTCCCAGGCAGCCAGATATCAATGTCTCCATTAGGCTGTCCTGACAGCTGGGAGGCTTCATTCTCCCTGCTTTTATACCACTTTCCAAATCCCATAATGCTGCCCCTGCCATTAAGCTGCAGTGGCCATATAAAGGTTTTGAACTAATTTCTGTCAAAAAAAGTGATGCCCTCAGATTTTAAAGAAAGCAAGTCTTCACTTTATTAAAGGACACAGTTGTATCGATGAGTCAGTCAGTTGCTTCTTGGAGCCCTCTTGTCCTACCCTGAGTTGAACAGCCTGTAGGTAGTAGGGTTACTAGGTGTGGAGAGTCCCTTTGGTTAGTGTTCCTCATCTTTTGCTGCCAGGTGCTGCTTGATACAGAAAAAAGAGGCTACCAGCCCAAATCCAGAGCATCTAACTCCTCTGTTAGCAATGGATTCTCATGTCCTTTGTATTAAACAGATAGATCTCAGAGCAACTGTAGAAAGTCCATCTTCTGGCATCTTTATATCTTGTACTTCCCACACAATGTCCGATGTCTAAACGCAAATTCACAGCCTTCCCTCCAGCCTGATAGCTCCTGGTGACTCTTCTGGATGAATGCAACCGTCTTCCATTTGGCTGTCCAAATCAGAGGACTGGAGGGCATTCTGAGGCCCATTACCACGGTTGTCCTGGAGAGCTTCCAGATAGTGCTTCTTGTTCCATGTCCACCACACTACCTTGGCCACATCCCTATGATCTTGCCTTTAGCCTCACAAGACAGCCCTGCTGTGGACCATTTCTCAGCCACTGTCTCCACAGTAGTTGCTGTGCATACCCATGTGCTGTGTCTGTGTTGGGTTCTGTGGCACAGCAGAGACTCTTAGTGGAGATTTTGCCAAGGGCAGAGACTGATATCAAACAGACGTTCTGTTAGTTAGTAATGTGTGAAGAATGAAACAGAACAGAGAGGTGGAGCAACGGTGAAGGACAGGAGTGATATGGGATCCTGTTCAATCTCAGTTGGCAGGGGAATGAAGCAACAGAAGCAGACAGCCAGGGTTGGGAAGTTGTCGGGCAGCTGAACTCTAGGACAAGAAGATAGCAAGACTGGAACAGTGCATGCAAAGGTGAATGGTAGGAGGAGAGCATTTGGCTTGCTGGAAAGCTACAGGGAGGCCAGAATGTGCCAGGAGCACAGGAGAAGGTGACAGGTGAGGCCAGAGAGGTGAGCAGAGGCTATGTAGACTCTGGGAAAGACTTAGGGTTGGATTCCAAGTTAGATGGGAGCCATTGGAGGTTTTGAGTACATTCTCGTCTCATCAGGTACCATTCAGGTTGCCTGTGAGAAGAGACCACAGAACAGGGAAGTTAGGGGGCTGTTATAATTGTCTAGGTGGGAGAGATTGGTGGCTTATACTAAGAAGGTGGTGGAGTGCTAAGAAGCAATCAGATTCTGGGTGCATCCATCTGAGTGTCTATCCAAACTAAGTCCATCATCCAGCCAGGGTAAACTTTTTAAAATTGAATCATGCCATATCACTCCCCCTTCAAATCTGAGCAGAAGAGTGAGTGAGGACGCCTGCCCACACCACCCACAAGATACTGCTGTCAATTCCAGGTTACCTGGTGGGGATGCAGGGCTGAAGAGCTAGGCCTTCTCATTTTCCAGGAGAGGCAGAAATGTAAATTTTTTGTGTGAAATCTTCCAAATCATACCTTTTAAAGTAATGAAGTTCAAATGAGACATGTCATTGAAGTTTTGACTTCAGTTCATAGGAGGTAGTTGCCAAGTTTGCTGGATGGAAAAAGTGATAGAATGAGTGGGCATTAAAAATATGAAACATTTATACAGTTTAGGCACTTTTTAAAAATGTTTATTTATTTTTGAGGCGGTGGGGGGGGGGGGGGCAGAGAGAAGGGGACAGAGGATCCGAAGCAGGCTCTGTGCTGACAGTAGTGAGTCAGGTGTGGGGCTTGAATTCATGAACCGTGAGATCATGACCTGAGCCAAAGTCAGACCTTAACCAACTGAGCCACCCAAGTGCCCCAAGTTTAGATATTTTTTTTTTTACTTAAAAAAAACATTTTAAAAAAATCTTTATCCATTTTTGAGAGAGAGACAGTGTGAGCAGGGGAGGAGCAGAGAGAGAGGGAGACACAGAATCCAAAGCAGCTTCCAGGCCCCGAGCTGTCAGCACAGAGCCCGATGCGGGGGCCCAAACTGAACGTGAGATCATGACCTGAGCCGAAGTCGGGCGCTCAACCGACTGAGCCACCCAGGCGCCCCCAAGTGTAGGTATTTTTTTTTAATTTTTTTTTTTAACATTTATTTATTTTTGAGACAGAGAGAGACAGAGCATGAACAGGGGAGGGTCAGAGAGAGGGAAACACAGAATCTGAAACAGGCTCCAGGCTCTGAGCTGTCAGCACAGAGCCCAACGCAGGGCTCGAACTCACGGACTGTGAGATCATGACCTGAGCCGAAGTCGGACGCTTAACCGACCGAGCCACCCAGGCGCCCCAAGTGTAGGTATTTTTAATATTACTGTTGGTCTTCAAACTTTACCCCTGACACAGCTGAGGAAAAGTGTGAAACAGTGGTAGTGATTGTGACAGGAGGGGGGTAAGGGGAAGAAGGTGGAGGGCAAGCCTCCAGGGAAAGTAGGATATGTCAGGCTCTCTGAAAGGGGTGGGATTGAAGGGAGCCTAATGACAGCAACGTTGTCACATGGTTATGATCACCAGGCACTGTCCATGTCCACCACTAGGTATAAGGACAAAGACAGGGAGGGCAAATAACTCTAAAAGAGGACTGGATTTGCAGCCTTAACTTCACATGATGTTGTTCAGAGGAAGATGCTCTTGTTGCCATCAATGGTCAATAGTTAGACACTTTACTCATTATGAATGACCAATATTAAAGCATCTATAGTGGTTTCATTATAATTTCACTATAGTGGCTTCATTAATTTAAAGCAATTTTATTAGCTTCAACTATTTTTTTCATTTAATAACATTATACTACATTAGTAGGAGGACATGTGTGTCCTCATGTGATATTTTAATGTTAGAGAGGCCAGGACAGGTAGCCACTGTGGGCAGCCAATTTCAAGATGTGGAGATGTGGCAGGAAGATGTGGGCCTGGGATTCAGATGCCAGATGCAGCGGTTGTATGATGTGTGCACATCATTTAATATACATGAGACCGAAGGTTTGCTTTTAAGGATGAAATAAATATGTAACTTCTTAGCATGGTGCCTGTGTGCTCATATGTGCTCAATAAACAGTAACTGGCACAGAATTATTTTAACATAATTGGTCTATTTCTTCCTCTGGTACAACAAAGATTATTATCAGAATTTCCAGTGCTTACTTTAATGTCCTGTTGATATTTGATATACTATACATAATACACTGTTGGGCATTGACGCATCACCCACTCAGCCTACAATTCACTGGGTCCTTGAGCATGTATAAGACTAAGATGAGTTTTTTTTTAAATTTTTTTTCTTAACATTTATTTGTTATTGAGAGACAGAGAGAGATAGAGCATGAGCAGGGGAGGGGCAGAGAGAGGAGGAGACACAGAATCCGAAGCAGGCTTCAGGCTCCGAGCTGTCAGTACAGAGCCCAACGCGGGGCTCGAACTCACAAACCGCGAGATCATGACCTTAGCCTAAGTCGGATGCCCAAACGACTGAGCCACCCAGGCACCCCCAGGACTAAGATGAGTTTTAAGACTGGTTTGGAAAGGCAGCTGCTTACTCTGTGTGATTACAGGGACATAAGGAGGTTTATCCAAGAATATTTCCAATCAGCTTACTGATGTCTGAAAGGTCATAATGAGGAATTAATTTATTTAACTTCATTTCATGTTAATTAATCTCCCTGGATTAAACCTTACAGCCATTTAGTGTGAATGATGTTGTTAGTGTTTTTTCTAGAAAGGGCATGGATGGGGAAATGGGTGAGGCATGTAGGGAGGGTGACACAGGGGACAAGACTGTGATGCTGGGGTGGCTGATGCAAACTTTGCCAACTACAAGAAATCCCTGAGAAATTCAAGAAATCCCCAGCTCATGGTCCCCCAGATTTAATCTGGACATGGCTAGCCACTTTCTTCAGGCATTTACAGAAATTTTTTTTACAGAAAGTTTCAGTCTCTGAGCTAGCCAAGACCTTATTTATACATTGTGGTTTGTTTTCAGGTTAAAGTTACCACTTACCACTGTCCCCATACGTGTATATAAATTGGTATAATCTTTCTGGAAAACAATTTGGTAATATGCATCAAGAATAACTTTGAAATACTCTTTGACACATTTATTCAACTTCTAAGAACACCTTCTAGAGAAATAATCAGGAATTATGAAAAAAGGTGTAAAAAAGGTTCATATTGGTGTATATTACTTATAGGCACACACACACAAAGAAAGAAAGAAACATGATTCTCTAACAATAGAGGAATAGTTAGACAAATTATGGTACATCCATGAAATAGTAACCATGTCTTAAAATATGTCATAAAGAAGTCTTAATAACTTGAGGAAATGCTTACACTATAATGTTAAGTGAAACAAAGAAGGTTACAAAGCAGCATGCAGTATCACCTATGTTGAGAGGGCTGTTACTGCTCTGCACAGGCACTGAGCTTGGTGCTGATTCCAGGCCTGGGACAGGTGCGGGGTGGGGGGCAAGATTTGAATATGGCTGACATGGCTAGAGTGAATGTTTACTGGCTTTTTTTGAGAGAGAGAGAGAGACAGAGTGCATGAGCAAGTGGGGAAGGGGCAGAGAGAGAGGGAGAGAGAATCCTAAGCAGGCTCCATGCCCAGCGCAGAGCCCAACTTGGGGCTTGATCTCACAGACAGTGAGAACATGACCTGAGCCAATAACAAGAGTCACTTAACCTACTGAGCCACCCAGACTATTTATTGTTCTTGACTAAGCAGTGCTCCTTCTGCCTTCATTTGGTCTTAGAAACACTCTTTTCTCTGTGGAGCCCTTTACACAAGGGTGAATACAAAACTTAGCCCTGACCAATTAGTGCACCCCATTTTCCTGCTTTGGTAATTTGATCTTGGGTGAACATGTGGTCAGCCAGGCTAGAGTTCTCCTAGGACCTTGGGATAGATGTAGTTTTTCACTGGGGCTGTGAAACTGCTGATAGGATGGTATGCTGCAGCAACTGGGGGCCACTGCTACACTATGGGGAGGCTTTGACTGAGAATCAGACCCAACTGAAGCAGTAGAGAGGGAGTGTGGTATGGAGAGAGACAGACGGAATCATGACATTTTCCTTGGAGACCTGGCTTCAGACCTGCCTAAAACTTCATCTGACACTTGAAATTCACAGATAAAGTGAGCCCAAAATTCCATTTTCAGTGTGTCACTTTCCTTTTTCAAATGTCTTATCATTTGCCATCAAAAGAACCCTGTTGAAAAAGAACTTTGAGGTTTTAGATGCTTAGTTGTAGGCTATTTGCAATTGGTGGCTAAAATGAATTCACAGATATCAGTTTGCACTAACCAGACTACCATATCCAGGAAGGTGACCAATCTGACCTAAGTGGTGAAAGCCAGATATGACATTGGGCTGGGTTTTGGGCACCAGACTGCAGGAGGGAGCTGATCAGCCAGGAATGTCTGGAGAAGAGTGGCCAGGGTGATGAGGAAACCCAAGGCCACAGCACACAAGAGATGATCGGAAGAACCACTGCTGCCTGGAGAAGGAAAGCATGGCAGGCAGGAAAGAGAGGATGTCCTCTTGCTTGGGCACAAAGAGCCAGGGAAATGGGAAGAAGCCTTCTTGGACTCTGGTCTCAGCTCAATGCAAGACCCAGCTTTCCAAAGCTCAGCATGGGCCACAGGGTTGCCCAAGAAAGCAGTGAGTTTGAGGACAGTTTGAAAACCACTTGGCAAGAATGTAGTTGAGAGATTTGAGACTGGTTTACCTTCAGGGCACTTCCCCAGGGATTTTAACATTTTATAAAAATGTCAAGCTATTGGCTCCTTCTTTAATTGAGATTAGTTGGCAGCTAGCTGAGAACAAGTTGCCTGCTTAACATTTTTGGCCTAATCAAGGGTTGGCCTTGATTCTAAATGTTTTTTAATCACTCCTTCAGTGGCCAAGTGAACTGAAGGGAGGTTCTTGCCCAAAACAGCTGAAACAGAATGAGTTGAGTTTCTACCATTCCTCACAGTCCTTGCTCTTCCAAATCACACTTACCCATTTTGGCTTTCCAGTGTTTTTGGTGGATGAAGCCACCCTGGCCGTGGTGGGGTGGGCCTGACCTGAGATTTCACCTGGAAAAGGCAGGATGAAGATAGTGAGAGCTGGAACAGCCTAAAACACCCAGGTTTTTTTGTTTTGTTTTGTTTTGTTTTAAATAGGAGCCCTCTTTTTCCTGAGCTGTCAAATACTCCTATGGGAAATTTGAGTCCAGTGAATAGACTTCAATTCATAGCTGCAGTCCCAGTGCCTGGCTCAGGGCCTGGCACATAGGAGGACCTCAACCAATATTTGTTGAATGAAAGTGTGAAAGGTCTTAAGGGACCTCTGAGATAATCTAGTCTGAGTCTCTCATTTTCTAAAAGAAGCATTGTAGCTTAGAGAGGTAAAGTAACTTGCTCACATCTGCACAGCTAGCCAATGGCAGAGCTGGGTTTCCTGATGATGTTTTCTCCTTTTTATAAGGGTCTTAAATGGAATGATGAGATTTTTTTTTCTTTTTTAAATTTACATCCAGTTAGTTAGCATATAGTGCAACAATGATTTCAGGAGTAGATTCCTTAATGCCTCTTACCCATTTGGCTCATCCCCCCTCCCACAATCCCTCCAGTAACCCTCTGTTTGTTCTTCATATTTAAGAGTCTCTTATGTTTTGTCCCCCTCCCTGTTTTTATATTATTTTTACTTCCCTTCCCTTATGTTCTCTGTTTTGTCTTTTAAGTCCTCATATGAGTGAAGTCATATGATACTTGTCTTTCTCTGACTGACTAATTTCACTTAGCATAATACCCTGTAGTTCCATCCACGTAGTTGCAAATGGCAAGATTTCATTCTTTTTGATTCTGAGTAATACTCCATTGTATATATATACCACATCTTCTTTTCCATTCATCCATTGATGGACATTTGGGCTCTTTCCATACTTTGGCTATAGTTGATAGTGCTGCTATAAACATTGGGGTGCATGTGTCCCTTTGAAACAGCATACCTGTATCCCTTGGATAAATACCTAGTAGTGCAATTGCTGGGTCAGACGGTAGTTCTATTTTAGTTTTTTGAGGAACCTCCATACTGTTTTCCAGAGTGGCTGCACCAGTTTGCATGGAATGATGACATTTTTATTTATTTTTCATTTCTTCTAACATTTTAAAAATAATGTTTATTTAATTATTTGGTGGGGGGGTGGCGGTGAGGGGCAGAGAGCAATGGAGAGAGAGAGAATTCCAAGCAGGCTCTGCTGCACTGTCAGTGCAGAGCCCAACTTGGTGCTCAATCTCATGAACCACAAGATCATGACCTGAGCTGAAATCAAAAGTCGGTCACTTAACTGACTGAACCACCCCTGTGCCCCCATTTTTGTTTTATTTAAGTAAGCTCTATGCCCAATGTAGGGCTTGAACTTATGACCCTGAGATCAAGAGTCCAATGCTCTACCAACAGAGCCAGCCAGGTACCCCTGAAATGGTGAGATTTTATTTTATTCACATATTTATTATTAAAATTTTTTCTGTTTATTTATTTTTGAGAGAGAGCAAGAGACAGAGCATGAGTGGGGAGGGGCAGAGAGAGAGGGAGACACAGAATCTGAAGCAGGCTCCAGGCTCCAAGCTGTTGGCACAGAGCCCGATGTGGGACTCAAACTCCTGAACTGTGAGTTCATTACCTGAGCCGAAGTCGGACACTTAACTGACTGAGCTATCCAGGTGCGCTGAAATGGTGAGATTTTAAAATATTACTTTCTGCATCAGTCCTCGGCTTGTCCTTACATCTGAATCTGGCTCTGATTTCTGACCCAGAAATGTACTGGGTCTCTGGGAGTTAGCCAGAGCTGTTCCAGAAGCTTGTTTAGTGTCCATAAGAGCTTGGTGTCTGGTAGGCTACATACTCAGCCCCTTCAACCATCCTTCTTTTCCGTTTGAGAAATGATTGTTAACAGGGGGCAGGACCAGGCAGAACAAAACACATTTGGTTGGACAATGTTTTTGTATTTTACCTTACTATATTAGTTTTAAGTTGCCAAGTAACAAATTAACCACAAATTTAGTGACTTAAAACAATACCCACTGATAAGCTTGCGGGTCAGAATTCCACACCCGGTGCAGCTGGTTTTCCACTCAGGGTCTCATCTGAGGCAATTAAGGTATTAGCTGGGTGGGGTTCTTGTCTGAGACTTGAGAACCTCTTCCACGCTCACATGATTAAGGCAGAATTCCCTTCCTGTGGCTGTAGGATCCATATCCTGGCTGGCTATCAGCAGGGGCTTCACTCAGTTCCCAGAGGTCTCCCACACCCCTTACCATGTGGCCCCCCCCCCCCC